TCGGTACCGAGGAGAGTGTACTCCTGCTCCAGACCGAACCAGAAGCCCTCGCTGGCGTGAGCCTCCATCAGACGGTTGGCATCATGACGGTAGTTGAACTTGTTGGGGCTTCCATCGGCATCCCAGGTCTCGCAGAGGACAAGGATGTTGTCACCCTGGCGGAAGGGGTCGGGGTAGTAAGCGACGGGGCGAAGGTAGACATCGGAGTTGTCACCGGGGGCCTGGTTGGTGGAGGAACCGTCAAAGTTCCACTCAGGGAGCTCATCAACACTCGTGACGGGCTTGAAGAGAGTCTGTTGAATTCCCGTTAGTGAGTTGTTCGAGGGAGCGCAATCTCACGTGACGGCGGGTGGCTGCGTCGCATAGGTCCAAGAATCCCCGTGCACCATATCCGTGCACAGGGCTTATCACAGCCGGGAGAGGATTCCAGATAAGAACACGCAGCAACCACGCGCCGACAGTCCACCGTGTGTAGCCAGAGAAAACGTGGGAATTGAGATGAGTCATACCTTCGTCTTGGAGCGAGTGCCACCGTTGGAGTCAATCCAAACGTATTCAGCTTGAACGCGTCCACGCTGGTCAAGGTTCATGTATTTCATGAGCTGTTTCAGTCAGTATATGTCATTCCTCACTGGCTCGAAGGCCATTGTGGAAATCCAAAATCAAGAATCAAACGCACATTCCCCGTGTTGGAGACGACAGTTGCAGATTCGGACGCCTGAGAAGAAGCGGTCAGCATTGGTTCTACACGCACAAGAGAGAGGGATGACTCGTACCATAGTGAATATGGGTATGTGTGATGTTTTAACAGGTTTTCAAGCAATCAAGCAATGACTTTTGTAGAGAAGAGTCCCGAAGGAAGGAAAACACGAAGGGACCTCAAGAATAGAAAGCGAATTGGATATGGATGGGAGAATCCAGAGGAGAGAATGAGTTTTAAAGATGTGGAGGGGCAAGGGAGGGATGATAACCTTTGGGAAAAAAAAAGAATTTAAATTTAGTCACTGACTTTCTCTTTTGGGAATTTCTTTTTTTATTTCTTTTGTTTTTTTCTTGGCAAAATCAGGAAGGCGCGGCTCAGCCACTACCTAAAGGGGTTAAGCGTGGTATCATCGCTGTAATGGTCTGTAAAGCGGTGGACCGATACGGGGTACAGATAAAGTACCTCATACATATTTGTGCGCGTCGGCAAAGCCTTTCCTGAAACGTTGGGGAATTAAAAAAAAAAGCCCTCACTCTATTTTAGTGCTTCTCCGTTCTCCGTTCTCCGTCCCGTCAGTATTCTCCAGTTATTTCAATATACCATTTTTAATGCCTCAATATCAAAATAGATCATCTACAATGTCACAAGGACCTCTTAGTTTTTCTTAGTTTTTCTTCAGCCGAGCGGAACGCCGTAGCCTGTGAAGTTGCAACTTTTCACCGAAATTCAACGCCACTCATTAACTTCCGTGTCATCATCGTCGCATCATCCAGACACCCGCCGGCCCTCGCCGGCGGATCTGCTATTATACCACGTTGATTTGGTATATTCGAATCTAGATGTGACTAGCACTACTCCGTATCCCGTATCCATTTCCCTCCGTATTCCGTCCTCCCGGACAATGTAGCTCTTCTCCAGACTTTCATCTCCGCATCTTTTCGATGTCTATCAAAACCGCTCCCGCCACCCGAACCAGTCAGGTTTCCGTGTACTGACTGGCGATAGCCCTAACTAGCGCCCAATCAGCGGTCAGGCCTTGTAATGAAACTCTATGAAATGCAATAATCTGAGCAATCGTTCTTCTCCCGTTGGACCGATAAGATATATAGAGGCACCGATTACAGGGGGTGATGTTGTGGAAAGCCGAATCTAGCGCATGGCATTTCCAAGATATGGTGTTCTTATCCTACGGCGTTCTCTCCGAAGAACCATCCCACGTCTTATCCGGGTCTTCAACCCCCTCAGATACACATCTTGCCCTCCAATGTAAACGTTTACAGATCCATGCGCAACAGATAGTCGGTGATACGTTGGTCATGATTCTTAGCAACCGACGCCAGGACCCTTGGCATATCAGCTGCGAGTCCCGCAAATACATGGGGCAAGTACGGTACACACCGTGGACTAAAAAAAAGCAACGTGAATTCTAGATGGACTCCTTTCTCTTCAAAGTGGAATATATTATCTGTATTTTGCAATTTTGATCACGCGCGCGTTGCGAGAATGGCTATCGAAATTGATTGTAGTATACGGCTAAGTACTCCACGGTTCCTGATCTCCCCTCGGAGCTATCACCAAATGACGATCGCGCGATTCGTTATCGCGGCCATGTCAGATGACTGGCCAGTACAGATAGTAAAGTTGTAACTTTTTATACGCGCTCTTCGTCGGCCTTTGCATATCTCGTTCCTGCAGGACGTACCCGCCCAGTACCATCTGGACTTTATCACGCGAGTCGGACCGGTATAGAGTACATCCACTATACCTCTGTAATACAAGACTAACCCCATCGACTGGAGAAGCCAGCCACGCCGCAACTTGGGATCGATCAAGTCATAGTCGGGCCAGTGGGGTGGACCGTGGCGAAAGGTTCTCGAAACCCCCCGGCGTGACCAATAAGACCCTTTCTGCTAGGGCCACCCCGACACCGGCCATGGATAAGAGAATCAAGGCAGTATTACAGGTCAACAGGGCATTTCGGTTATTCATATGTGTGATTTCAATTATGTACTGTAAGAGTCACGAGTCCGAGGGTGATAGTTATTTGGGTTGTGGTCTCTTAGGTAAACGCACTGAAGTCTATATTCCAATATGGATACACAAAGGGTATGCAACTCGGGGGATTTAGGTCAGGGATACTCCAATGAAGAAGAAAAGTGGCGACGAGATCTCCTTCCCCCGTATTTTCTCCGGCAAATGGAAGACTGGCAAATGTCGGGAGTTTCAGGAATCCAAGGTGACTTGAGTGGCTGAGGATCCGATCTTCAGCCCTGTCTTTTCTCCAGGTTTTGATTTTGATATACCATGAGCTACCGATCCTTCGGAGTACGGAGGATTCCGTAGCTGAACAGGATTCTAATTTCGAGCATCTAAATCCGTCTGAAGAGTTTGCAGGTGTATTAATAGCATGGCTGACCTCAGACATCTAGATTCGGGCTTAGTCACCGGCCAAGACCGGGGGCTGTGTGGTACTGTGTACCAGTAGTACATTGTAGTACTGTGAATACATCTAAAACAGCAGAAGCAAAGAAACCAATATAATTCATTCATGCATATATAAAATTCAAGAAATAATATGAAAGATCAGGTTGCAAGCCTCAAACCCCCATAGATCGACATCCCCCTTTCTTATCGCGCCCCTCTCATTGGTTCCTAGCGCCAGTGACAAACCACGCTGACTAGAATCTCGCACATTCAACTGATATTCACGTAATTGCTTGCTCCTTATTGCCCAGTCGATTGAAACCAGGTCAGCTGTTCCATATCTGGCCAGAAAATAGTCGAATTCCCTCTCCTACGGACATGTTTTGAGCGTTTTATAGGGAAACTATGTTGCTAAATGCCTCATCGGAATGCTCAAAGTGGAACGAGGGGGAAACATGACACATGAATAGGCTAGTTTGATCTTCAATAGGCTGTTTGGAATATAGTGGCCACTATGCCAAGACTTTATACTGCCTATGTTTAGTTGTGATCCCAAAGAACTCGCTTCCCAAGATCCACATTGAACACAATGAAAATAAATATTCTATCATAGAAATGCAAAGATGGACAGAAAAGTTGATTTCTTGTTCTAACGAGGTAACTAGTTAGGTACTCGCGGGCTATGAGATAAATAACTCCATAAAGCAAGTAGTAAAAGCCTCAAAAAGCCCAGTTATGGTGAATCACGAATGGTTGGCCCTAAACCCTCATTTTTGATGTGGATTTACCAACATCCGAATAATGCCTCATAAGGTAATGAATCGCACTGGCATGTCATAGTTATATCCCTTGCACCTGGCAGATCCATTGGTCCGGTAAATTGACATCTAATGTCTTGTTTATTATACAGTCTTAGTATTATACCACATCAAAGTCTGCTGGCGAATTAACAAGGCCAAGGAAGACATCTCCTCCGTTCAACATTGTATAATATGATTGACAGGCTCTTATTAACGACTCCATTAAATGCAGATATAACGGCACTGATCCTTCTATGCAGATCCCATCCAGTCAAACGTCGACCTAGTGTAACTGCCCTGTCTGATGTCTGCCCCCGAAAGTATGAAGAACTAGCCACTCAGACCTTGGAAGTGACGCACAATGCAGGCCCGGGGTTACGACCCCCGCATGGTATTTCGGGCCTAGACTTATCTGATCGCCTCTGAAACACTGTCATTATGCTTAGGTACACCTGCATGCATAACTAGGTGCGTTATTTTGGGAGATCCTTTTAGTGAAGGGGCAAAGCTATGTTACATTGAAATATAAGTTGGAGATAGTGAATATAGAATGCGCAAGGCTGAAGTACATACTCCGTATGTAATTCACAAATAAGCATAAGACCATGTTTGTCCTTATTCAAGAATATACGCCATTTGCTTCTTCATCAGAACGGCAAATAACAAACAGTCTCTGGCTACTACGTTTTCTGATTCCGCATTCACTATCTACCTAGAGTATAAAGACCTTCTTGTCTCTCGCAAAAACTCTCTTCTTTTGATATTCTTGAGTCATCTTGGGTCACTATATATATTATCCTAGCATACATCTTAGCTGGCATTCGTTTATCCTACAACATAGGCACTCTTTCTTCAATAGAAACCACTCCCTCAAATTCATTTATATATATTCATCTCCCACAAGCCTCAACAGTGCCATTTCAAGCAGACCAGCTCTGGCTGACTGAAGGCTCCTTGAGCTAGATCACGTCCCCGCATGGCTTCTCCCGATATACGGTATCCAACTAGGAGAAATGTTCCCGACGTGGTTTGAAAGTCCTGAAGAGTGAATATATCCGAACCAACAAGATCAAATGGCTTTCCCTATCCCTTACCCAAACTCCGAAAAGGAGGTGATGTTGAATCGCTGTGGGTGCCTCCAAGAAGCAGACATTTCGAAGTGCATTGCCAACACGGCCAGCTCGTTCCCTCCTTCCTCTGTTGTCCAGAGCGCCCTTTCTGCAGCGCCACCCCGAAGACGACAAGGTAATTACGCTCCCTGCTAGTTACATTCGTTCATTACTAACTCGAATCAATAGCTTTCTCTTCGATAGGCAACTCGCAGTAAGGCCAAAGCCCAGTAAACTGGGCAATAGCTAGAGCTAACCGAAACGAGACTTCATGGGTATGACTTGTTCTACAGACTATTTCTAGCAGTCGCTGATTATGACTAGATCCCGAGAGTATAGCTGCGAGCGTACAAACCCCAAGTCCTATGCCGAAGGAGCGAATCGCACAGCTTAACCACCGACGGCGAGCTCCCGAGAGTAATAGCTGGAGCCAACCGATGATCCAGACTTTATGGGTATGACTTGTTCTACTAGGCTATCTCCAGTAGCCACCGAAGATCTTGAAAGGCTACGAGCTTTCAAACCCCAGCCCCTACACCGAAGGTAAACCTATAAAGTCTGGTTGGTCTGTTGGTTCTAGCCATTACTTTCGCGAGCTCGCTGTGGGTGGTTGGCCTGTGCGTTTCACTCTGCCCGTTATGACTTGTTCTACCAGGCTATTTCTGGTAGTCGCTGATTATGTCTAGACCTTGAAGTACAGCTTGTGACGATCCGATCAGTCACATGGGTCGAGAGCGTTTCATAAATCAATGATATTGTTGATCTATATCACCAGTCACATTATATGATCCAGTATTTGCTCGAGCTTATCTAGAATTTAGATATCCAGGTCTCAATCGTGTGGAATTTGGTGACGTAGTAGCCTAGCCCATGCATTATGAGTCGTGTGACAGGAGAGCCCTGGAGCAGCTTGGATGGTGGAGTTGCCGACCACAACTGCTATCAGCTAGCATTGTCTTACAGTGTATAATGTACAGCTGCATCTTGGTGGTTGCATATTCATGTTCAACATGAGCTATGAGCAATTGTGAGACTAGGGATTGCCTTGGTCTGGGAATACAAGAATGTTGTTTCTCAGTGCCACTGGACCTCACCCATTGCCAGCTCGCTGTTGCATCCAGCGCAATACCCATTCAACCAAGATGCTCAAGTCTTGCGAGACCTCGAGCACTCTGGCAATCTTCTTTTGTACATCCTGGAGCCCTGGATCAGGGTTATCCACACCCTCCATTTCAGTGTCGCCAGCCGCTTCACCATCGACTAACCCAGCAGTATCCACAACTGAGATCTGGCCATTCAGTCCGACTTCAAAACAAATTGCGATTTGTCTGGGGGTTGGAATGGATCGGGCAGTTTTGGGACTCTCGTTGTAGTTCCTCTGATCTGTGATGAGTAACATGAGAGCAGGCGATTGGCCAAGTTGAATACGCAATGTCACGTCGACTTTAACGTCGTCCACGGACAGTGGATTGGGACTCTTTCCTCTGGAGGGAGTTGAAATTTCAATCCCAGAGTCATTCTTGCTATCATCCGAGCTACTCAGACCAAGCAGCAGATTCAATCTCTCCTCGTTAGGATCATCGTTATTCAAGATTATGAGCCCGTCGTGGTCGGCGAAGAGGTCTGAAGTCTGGACAGGAGGAGTGTGGGTATTTTTGGGGGTTGCAGTTGAAAATTTGTCCGGGTTGGACTGGTCCTTAGGAAGATGGAACGTCTTCCGAATCAAATTGGCTAGCAGGGCATACTGCCGGAGGATCTAAACTGGGTTAGTGGAAGACGATATCAGACGAAAACACACATACCGGAAGGATATCTGCGAGCTGTCGGGGGTGCGAGAAGGGTAGGTCATGGATGGTGCAACCAGTAATGGACTCAAAGGATTGGAAAGTGTAGTTATGTTGTTTCGTATACGGCTTGCCCTTTGAGTCAACAGCATGTACTGACATCCGGCGCTTTCTACGGCCAATTCGAGGGGATGAAACCGGCGACGTCAAATGCGAAGATTCCGATACCAACAACGCATCGTATGTGATCATCTTAAACTCTTGTGGTAGCTGCATGCCGAGCTGACGATAAATCTCGGAGGCTGCAAGAATAGGAACGTCGAGTGCAGGCTCAAGTTTACCGACGAATCGGCGATTGGGTGGCGATGACTCCAGCATGCTAGAGTCCAACGCCATAGGGTCATGGTTGTCATGGGTCAACCGCGTGGTCTGCGGAGGATCAAGCCAGTTCACAGACCCAGCGGCACCATTTGATGGAAGCAATTCGGTGCTTTCACCTGCAGTAAAAACTTCACTCCCAACCCATTCCTTTGAAATTCGCAATGACGGATACCCCTCTTCGCATTCAATCATGACCGCCCATGATCTGCCTTGATCATCCAACTCGCCCTTTGAACCTTGATCATGTTGCGGGTCAATCTCCATAGCATCCGAAGATGGTAGGCTCTGCTTCGCATCCAGGACTTTGGCTTGCTCAACCCAATATTCCAAGCCGAGTCCGATTCGGGTCCCCTTATGCATGGTGGGACGTCCGAGCACACCTGCGCAAAGGTGCTGATACTCGCCGCCGTGCTTCCCATTCTTGCTTTCTTCCACCCAGATCCGCCTGAAGTTCTCTTCAAGATTCTCCAAGGCCTCAAAGCAATTTACCTCCTGGCTGAGTTTGTCAAGCTTTGCAAGCCATTGTAGGTTTTCATGAAACTCGTGGAGTGACCTCCATTTCCCACATTCGGCGTCTTCCGCGGACTGGGCGAGGGTACGTTTCAAGACCGCTGTAGCTTCCTCCCGCCGCACACCTTCAGTGTATTCCGGCGTGGCATATCGAAGACTGACATCCTTGACAACATCCTGGCCAGCGTAGAAATCAATCTCAAGATCGACAAAGTTACCGGCGATGTTGAGATTATCGTCTTGCCAAATGGACTCGAAATCTTCCAGTCGACTCAGCCGTTCTACACTTTCGCGCGAAACCCCTCTACCAGAGACTCGGGCCCGCAGAAGCTGAACGACCTGCTCGACGCGATGTCTCTGTTCTCCGTCGTTGTCGCGCGTGACCCCGAGCTTGAGTCCCTGCATCCCGAGGGTTTGGATGTCGCTGTCATTCATGCCTGCACCAACAAGACCATCATGCACTGCCGGAGAAGGACTGATGCCAGTATACCCACCGAGCGCCAAGAGAGCCGAAGGCGAGCTAAAATTGACAGGATCGTCGACACCAGGGACGGCGAGAGGGGTAGCGTATTGATGGGACGAGACACTCGTGTGATGCGCATGCGCAGGCCCTGAACCTGTTGGTGTTCTCATTGAAGGCGATTTATGGGCGAGGGATCGGGCTAGAGGAGCGGAGGATGGATGGGGAGAGGTGAGGTGAGTTGGCGTTGCGCCAGGTTTGGCCGAGGGAGTCGCCATGATAAAATGAGAGGATTGACAGATAAAAGTGTCAACAGTCAATTACTTATAGTCAAATCCGTCCGAAAAATGGGTATCATAAGGTATCGAAGCACAGAACGCAAGGAAGGCGGGTATGTTTGTATGCGACTCAATTCTCACTGGCGCAAGTGCCAATTTGGCGGGTGCACAAGGGAAGAACTGTCGAATGATTGTACAGATCAAGTATCATGACGCATCGAAGCTACCCCGTTCCCATGGACACTGCAATTAACTAGCGCGATTGGTTTCGAGAAGCCAAACAGATAGCTCCGTAGAAAGACACAATCACGTGTGTTTGCATTGTTTGCATATTTGTATTCATCTCCCCTCCGGTCTCGAAGCGCCTTCCAGATCAGGTCAACTATTGAAATGCAAATGAAACAAACATACCAAGCCATGAGGACCAGAAGATTGGGCACTGGTACGGAGTAGATATTCAACACTGCCAAGTCTCCCAACTCTACTAGCAACTATTCAACCCTCTGCCCTCTGCAGGATCGCACTGCATGGAAGGAGAATTTGCTCGGTCAATTAAAATAAAACAGAGTATCTCCACCTTGGGAGCATACCCAAAATGGATGATGGTTCTCTCACCGGTGATCCCGTACGTGACGGTGCATCGTTCTTCAGAGTGAACGTTCTAACACCCTGATAGCCCTCGAAGTGGGACTTTGTCAACTACATTCCCTATATTCTCTCATCCAACATCGAAATACGGTTCGCTGACTCCATGAGACACCGGCGCCCAATTGTTACACTGGAAGAAATCCAAAACGCGAAAGATCTATGTCCTCATCGTATGAACGGTTGCAAAATCCTGGAGATCAACGCATCGACTATATTGAAAGTCGGACCTGTGATTCAGATGGCAGAAGCGGAGGCCCTTTTTCTTGTGAGGAAACGAACGTCAGTCCCCGTCCCTGACGTCTTCAATGCTTACACAATTGCCGATTACGGATTCATTTTGATGTCGAAAATGCCAGGGCTCTCTCTGGCACAATGCTGGGAAAATATGACTCGAGATTCGAAGACTTCTATTGTCCGACAACTTGAAAACTTTATCCGGGAGTGGCGCCAGATTGAAGGACCTCTCTTTGGGTCCATTGATGGTGGGCCATGCGAAGACGTTCTCTTTAAGCATCCATGGGATGCAGAGGATCGGTACTACGGACCCTTCTCAACAAGAACGGAATTCAATCAAGGGGTGGTTGAGGCTCTCCGTTACGCCAGACCCAATGCGCAGCTCACAAAAAGAGATGGGCCTCTAGTGGAGAGAATTCTTGTATCGCATACCCAGGATGAGAGGAAGGTACTCACGCATGGTGATTTGCACCAAAGCAATATTATTGTGAACGGTGATATCTTCACCGGAATCATAGACTGGGGCGCAGCTGGCTACAGTATATCGGCAAGGGAATATTTCTGTTTACGGTGGCAAGCGTTGGACCTAGAATGGAGGGAACTTATATCCACTATACTCGAAACCGACGAGTATGAATTTTGGAATGAAGTCAATCAATCCGTGGTAGTTTATACTGGGATCTGAGCTAAATGCAACATGCTGAATTCATTTTAGAGTCATCCAGTTGACACCTGCGGTTGCCTGAATAGCTCGTGCCGGCTTCCCAACCATCCCCTTCCAGAAGTGGCATGTGCCAGACGGGACTAGCTCTTCAATATCCAGTGACAGCAGGGTGTCATAAACCCAATCCTGGCATCTCTTCTTTCCATCCCTTGGTGCAGGCGAAGATTTGATAACTTGGATGGCCTGTTGACGTTGCTGTTCACTAAGCTCGCCAAGTTTGACCTCGCCAATGGCATCCATGGTGCGCAGGCCGGTACCCATTCTCGATTCGAATTGGAACCAGAGTCTGTCGATGTCGATCACCTCCACGTGGAATAGGTCGCCAATAGGGCTTGAGGGCTTATGCATCGTAAATCCCCAATGAGACCGGTGCTGGGGATCTTCGCCTGCCCCGGATATCTCTATAGACAGCACGTACACCATGATTCGGTAGTCCTGGGCATACAATTAGCCTGGTGTCTCGACAAGTCGAAGGGTAATCAAATACCTGAATTCTGTTCCGAATTCTTCGTTTTTTAGGAGACCTTGGGGATATGTTGTTCCCCTGCGGGAATGACACCGCTATTACAAAATCCTCCAAAGAGAAAAAGACCCTAAAATAATCATAACGAGTGTGCGCCCGCCTTGTTTCACACGTGTGCAATTGGGATTTCGTTCATGCTCGGCGAATCATATCTTGAGCCCAAAGCGCCTGCTCATTAGAGCGGTGTAACAGAATGTGTTCTGGAAGGGAAGTACGATTTGATTGGCTGCTATGACCCTTCATCGAGATACCAGTATCTTGACATATGCACGCAGCCATCAAAGGATACGCACATTCTTCGTTCATTTTGTAGCCTCCAAAGCTTCGGGATAGATTAGGTCTCCTACGCTGTTTGGCTATTCGATGAGAATATTAGGAATGGCCACAGAAAAGTAGAATCTATCTGAGAAGCTATCTGAGGATCAGTCAGTTAAATAGTAACTAGCGTAATCAGTAAGCCGCCCATGTATGCAATACAGACATCTGCCATGTCAAATATGTCCTAGCCAGCTTGGGGCTTCGCTTTGGGCTGCTTTGTTTGTAGAGACAAAAGGCAATGGTAGTTTTGGCTACCTGAGGTCTCTAGACTCTGATGCTCCACCTACCCCACCATATGTAGAGCCGATGTCATATTAGTGGGGAGGCGGATCTACCTAAAAGATGGCCGAAGCTTTTATTTAGCCAGAGTGGCGCGCTTTCCGCTTTTACAAGTCGCATGACCGGAAGGTACGACCAGGAAGGAACATGTTAGACACCTGCAGTCAAAGGTTAAATGCCTGAATTTGAAGGGTTGATGTCTGAATATAGACCGCTTTCGACACCGCTCTATTCTGTTAAACAAACTGGATCTTCTCCAAGCGCCCGGACAAGCCGAACAGTTGATGAAAGGAGTTCGCGTCGACCGGGGGTAGTGTAAGCCCAGTGACACAGTGCAACGAGGCGTGTGCAAGCACAGAGGCCAAGTCGCGAAGTCCAAATATTGGAATAATCATGACGTTCTGCAATGCAGAACATTCAGCGATTAAACTGAATAGAACAGATACTACACTTGATCTAAGCCAGAGGCAAAGAGAGCTGAAGAAGAAAGAAAAGAAGAAGAAGTTCTGGGGGCAGGGTCACCTTCTTATAGGTATCCTGAGGGCGGTCGGTTTATGCCACTATTCACAAATGAGACAAACAACGACATAGGCTCGCTTAATGTAAATGGTAACGTGATGATAAGAACAGGAACGGCTTCTCTTATTTCCGGCTGGCTTGTTGCACAACTGTCATTCGCTTTGGTATGTGGCTATAATGTTTGTTTCTTCTGATATCAACAATCCCCGCTAGACGGTCAGGTCCACTTTTTTTCCAGCTTATGTTCACCGCCTTTGAAACCGCCTGCCAGTTCCATCGAGCTATGATCCAGCTCTCTCGAATTTGATCATCCAACCTGCTGCCTCCAAGGTTATTACTCAATTACCCACTGCCTTACTATAATTGTATCTCAATGTTTGCAGCAAGATCATTTGGCCGACAGGCCCGGGTTCTTCCTAAATGGACTCAATTCCGTTGTGTATCGACATTGGAAGGGTCTCCGTACATAGTATGTGCTTGTTACACCTTACAAAGCCCTCATTGAAGCTAAATTATTGATAGTATGTGTTCCCAACTGGACCAGCAAATGGAACCCACATCTTGTCTCTATTACCCTCCGAGCCAGTCAACCCAGACCTAGCTATCGGACTCGCGACTCAACTGCCACCGACAACAGACACCTTCAAAGAAAACCCAAAATTCCTGAATATAGTACAAGAAGTGTGCTCAGAATATGCGCATGAAGACCCTGATGCCAAGTCGCAGGCGCAGGTCATGGTGTCTGTGGCCGGAGCGAACCTGAACTCAGGCGGCGTGTTACTAACTGGTCAGCGCGGGAGACGTCGTGGAGCCGACTCGACCAGTGGTGCTAGTGGTCAAGGTGGTGCTGGCTCTGGTGGACGTGGTGGTTGGATTCATATCTCTGATAACAGACGGCCGCCTGACTATGGGCGGATTGCTTGGTAAGCTTGCCTGTGTTTCAACGAGCATGTTTTATTCCATATGAGACTTATACTAATTCCGTCCAGGCCGGAGGATATGTTCGGAAGCCTTGAGGTGGATGCCAATGGTCAGTTCGTTGGAGACAATGGCAATTACCAGCCGAGTGGTATGTTTTCCGATATGAAGCTCGACAGGCCAAGCTGATACTTAGCAGGTACCTATCGTATCCTGACCCGAGATGGAATGTAAGCACCCCCTTTCTCAGATGTTTCGTCTATGAATATTCAATGTTGATTGATTGTATAGTTTCGGATTGAGTCCTTTCCTCAGAGAAAAGCTGGTTCAGAAGCTACGAGAGCTTGCGAAGTGATATCTTCAAAATCGGGTACATCGCCCACGGAATCCTATGTAATATATATCCTCACTCAGCAGTCCTCTCGGAGGTCTACTCTTGTCCTTTCAACTTGCATTCGGTTGCTGCTGACTCAAAAGTTCGTGACAATTCCCTTGCATTGGACTGTTCTCAACTCAATCATGGAGCTGAGCTCACTCAATTTATTAGATACGTTTCAGCTGGTAACTATAAATCGGCCATGTTGTTCTCGTCTTTGCTTTGACAAAAAAAAGAAATATACATTAGTGAGAAGCATGGCTGACCGTATAATAGAAGCAAGGCTCATGCTTCATTGCGTGTATTATAATTGCTTCGCTTCGCTCCGCAATCATTTCTTGAAGAAATTGGTAATTCGCTGCGATCCATCTGCTGCCTTCGTCCCACTTGACTTTTTCATAGGGCTATTATGCGTAGCACTGCGCAACTTCTTCTTTTGCGGCGATGGTCTAGTTGAATCTGAATCCACCTTTTGCTTCTTACTTTCCTGCACGGCATCAGGAGCCTCTGGACTATGCTCCCTTTTGACAGCTGGCACCGGTATTGGGGCATTGTCCTCGCTCCATTCTGAATCCTTAGTAGGGCGCTCGTCCTTGACCATCTCCACTTTCGGCGACGGAGCCTCCTTCTTTGGAGAGGGGTTTGGACTCTCCTTCGTTTTCGCGTTGGCAAAGAAGTTCGCAATGTTGCTTTTGTTTTCCTTGCTGTTGACAGGAACAATAAAGTTCGGGGAATTATTTCCAACTTTCCCAACCTCTTTAGGGACAGGATAGCACTCTAGTTCACCCTCGTAGGGCTTGAGAATTGATTGGAGCTCCTTTGACCAGGTCTTTTGGCGGGGGTCCAGCCATTTATTCATCGCCTCACTCCCAGAGTCCAGAATGACGGGCATACGGTCATGCAGGAATTTCAGGTAGGAATTAGAAGAGGTTGTGATCACCGTGTACGTGTAGAGCTTTTCGTCAGAACCTGTACAGTCGTCAGCCCGGTTGGTGCTTTATATCAGAAAGACCTAAACATGCCCTCGTAGGAAACACAGTCCCACAGTCCAGCGAAGCACATCAACTCTCCGTCTTTGCGCCGGGTAAAGTGTGGAACCTTTTCTTTTCCCCCAGGTCCCTTCTTCAGCCACTCGTAAAAGCCCTGGCAGACGACAATGCATCTTTTTCGTCGTTTCATGGTAGTCCATATCCCCGAATCATCGATCAGTGAGTCATCGCGACAGTTAATCGTGCGCATCATGGATCCGTAATCTGGCTGGCGCTTCGTCCAGAATGGAATGAGACCCCATTTCATGCTCTGGAGCTTGTGTTTGATAATCGTGTTGTCTACTGGCTTAGCATCTGAGCTCGCGTCATCTTTTCCCTTTTCTAAGTTTTGGGTTTGGTGCTCGCTATCACCATCTTGTTGGCTCCCTTTATCGGTGATCTCAGCGCGATAGACAGCGCCGAAGTTGCCCGGTGCAAAGTTGTATGTCTCTCTGACTGCATCGTCATCTGGTGCTTCATCCACTTGCATACCATGCTCCTGCAGCTGTTGTTGGATATACGCCAACCGCTTGGGATCGTCAGCTGGAGGACAGTCTAGATGCAGGAGCCGTAGCTTACCACGCCCAAAGCATATCGTCCACACATTATCAGGATGAACTACTAGACTGATCCAAGAGCGATGTCTCCACAATTAAAACTGGATGAAAACAGTGCATTTTCCAGGCGGAAAGATGAGTGCATACTCCAGCGGGCGACGTCATCTAGCGGAGCGGAGCTTGGACCACCAGAAAATCGAGGGCGGGCTCTCGTCACCATATACCTTCTCCTCTCCCTCTCCATCCTCGTCAATCCCCCAGGTTTTTTCAGACAATCACCCGCTCAATAAAAATCAAAACTCGAAATCTCAACCGAATACCCACTCACACATCCCCAATGTTCCGAGCATCATCACGGCGCACGAGCGCGCATGCCGCAAAACTTCTACAACCACAATCTAAGAGCCTCGCCCGCTCAATATACATCAACAGCACCACCCGACCAACCCTCCAACCCCGCATCAACAATGGCAAACCACTCGCAAGCCCCTACATCTCCGGCACACGGCACCTCACGATCCTGCAGAAAATCAGCCGCAAATACCGCGAAGCATCTAGAGGAATCTGGCGCAAGAACCCCGTCCTCATGCCCCTAGCAATCTTCTCGGTTGTCGGCGGAGCCTTCATCTTTGCCTACATCTCCTACGTAGAATTGACACGCGTCGGACCGCAGTACCACAAATTCCCGCCGCCGGTGGCCGACGCTCTCCGCACGGCTATCTATTACACCGAGATCGATCTCAACCCAGCCAAGGCGATGAAGTCGTACAGAGAGGCGCTTCACACAGCATTCGAGATGGGCATACACCCGTTCTCGGATGAGATACTCGGAATCAAGCTGCAGGTTGCTATGATGCTGGAGAAGGCCGGACTTGTGAAGCCGGCGATTGATGTGCTGGAGAGAACGAAGAACGAGGCTCTGGTCTGGGTGGAGCAAGTCACAGCAGGGAACACTGCTGCCGCGGCCGAGAAGGTGAAGCAAGCGAAGGGGCAGGTCCAGAATACCGCGCCCATTGTCCAGGTTAACAACGAGGTGATTCAAGAAAGCCAGGAGGATCTGGAAGCACTGGCGCAGTACGAGGCTCGTCAGCGAGACAAAGCGCTCAAGAAGGTCGTCGGCATTGCGATGAAGCTTGGCGAGCTTTATTCCAGCGAGTATATACAGGACGAGAAGAAAGCCGAGGCCGCGCAGGTCGCTGCTGTGGAGATCTGTCTGAAGGAAATGCGCCGCCGCCAGATGCTGGGTCTTCCTGTTGGTAGCGCTAGCAGTGGCGAGGGGGCAGACGGCGAGGCATGGCTGAACCTCACTGAGATTGCGACGGCGTTGGCCGAGCTTGCCGCTACCTATACCGCCAAGGAGCGGTATGAGCTGGCCATGCCGTTGTATATGCGCTCGTTGGATTTGATCCGCGCCGCTGAAGGAACTTCCATATCTTGCAAACAGGTGGTGCTGCTGAACGATGTTGCTACCGCTCTGGTCGGTCAGGTTCAGAAGCCCGCTAGGGCTCAGCCGCAGGAACCTGTTACAGCGGAGCAGACTGTTGAGGCTGCCCAGAAGTGGGCGGAGAAGGCTATTGAGGTTGCGGCTCACATTAAACCCCCGCTACGTGACGAGGAGTGTGACATCACTTGCGTTGTTGCGACTTATAACTTGGGCGAGCTGGCTGAGCTACAAAAGAAGCCACAAGTCGCTACGCAGCGGTATACCGAGGCTAAGGCGTTGGCTGATGGGATTAAATATGAGGAAGGAAGTATGATGGCTAAGGAGGCTTTGAAGAGACTCGGGAAGAAGTAATGGGTAGATAACGTGAAGGCCCTCTGTTCAGATGTACATTATGACTATTGTTGGAAATAGAAATCTCCAAACCATTCCACGTATAATTTAGACATCCGGCGACTATCGTAGCATTACCCTACATCAGAATTCAGAACACAAGTGGGAGGATAAATGAGACAGATATATACAACATAAACATACGGTACGATTTACAAGAGATTTTTAATAAAGAAAAATAGGAAACATTTTGATGCCTTAACTGGTATTAGAACATCACAGGTCTTGCACAAGATTCCATACATTTTAAATGTGGATCGAGTAGGCTAGACATGTCAGAAAACCTCCAGGCCGGGGACGACTTCGTCCCGGCGAGAAGTGCTTCATTGCTCGTGGCTCATACATCCCAAACCAATGCGCTTCTGGCCGTATCTTTTGAACTTTTTTTCAATTCCCTTGTCAATAGATCAAAAAGAGGCTCCTCAAGCTCCGATACAACAACTCAAATCTATGCGCGCGACATAACACCCCAGGCACGGATCTTGTTGTCGGTGTAACCGGCGAACAGGGTCTGGCCGTCAGCGGACCAGGCCAAGCTGATGCACTCGGGGTCACGGCTCTTCTTGCCCTTCTCAACAAACTCGGGCTTGAGCTCATCAACCTTGCTCTTCTTCTCGAGGTCGAAGATGGTGATGGAGCTGCTGGTGGCAGCGCACAGCCAGTAGCGGTTGGGGGAGAAGACGAGAGCGTGGATCTCATCGCCAGCGGAGAGGGAGTAGAGGTGCTTGGACTCGTTAAGATCCCAGAGCATGGTGGTACCGTCCTTGCCACCGGAGGCGCAGAGGGATCCGTCGGGGGAGATAGTGACAGTGTTGATGTATCCGGTGTGACCGATGTGGTCGGTCTGGAGACGGCAAGAAGCGAGCTCCCAAACCTAGACGCGGATCAAATGTTAGCGTCGATACCCTTAAAATAGAATGTCAAGTGTAAAGGAAAAATTTTTCCAATCCTTCTCTCGTTCGATTAAAAAACAAAAAAATTGTTGCTGTGCCCATCAGGCAAATTGGGTGAAAAATTGTCTCATGGCCCCGAAGGGCTCTGAAGTAGCAAATACGTTTATGCAAACATCACGCGGGCAAAGCAAGGCGGGGAGGAAATTGTGCAGGAAAATTCGGAATCGATAGCGTACCTTGACGAGCTTGTCCCAGCCAGCGGAGACAATGACGGGGTTCTGGGGGTTGGGGCTGAAGCGAACGCAGGAAACCCACTCGGTGTGGCCCTTCTCGGTGATGGTGAACTTGCAGTCACCAAGGGTGTTCCACAACTTGATGGAGCGATCACGGGAACCGGAGACGATCTGACGGTTGTCGGCGGAGAACGAGACGGACAGAACATCGTTGGTGTGGCCGACGAAAGTGCGGGTGGTGTTACCGGTGGACAGCTCCCAGAGACGGAGAGACTTATCCCACGAAGCGGACAGAGCGTAGGCACCATCGGAGGAGATCACCTATAACGCAGACAAGACCATCGGTCAGCCAAAACCATTCCATCTTTTTTTTTTCCGAAATGCGCCATCCAAATCCATGTGTCGCATCCAATGGCTTGTGGGTGTGGTTCATTCGGGAGAAGAAAAACGTACACAGTCAGAGACGATGTGCGAGTGACCCTCGAGGCTGCGCTTGGGGTAACCGTAGGCCTGCTCATCACGGGTGAGGTTCCAGATGATCAGGGTCTTGTCGCGGGAAGCGGACAGCAGCATGTTGGGGCTATTATCAAACATTCAAGTCAGAATTTTGTCCCTTCAAAAATTCAATCCCCCGATCGGGATAGGTCACTCTTACTTCTCCAGGGAGGTGGCGAGGGAAGTAACCCAGCCATTGTGGCCCTCAAGGGTGCCGCGAAGAACCAGCTGCTCAGCCATGATGGGAATGAGACAATGAAGGAGAGAGAGGGATGGGCGGAGATTGTCGTTGACTCTGGGGGGGAGGTAAAATCGAGATGGGAGGCAGACGTGCCCGCCCAAGCCCTAAGCCGCTTCGCTGCTCTCCTTGTGTGGTTCCGTGGAGCCCTAATACTAAGCGAAGGGTCACATGACCTGGATCTATACAACGATGTATATTGAGATGGATAATTATTGATTTACATTCAAGTCTGTTTTATTCGAATTTAACAATTGCTTTATTTTCTATCCTAATTGTGATTCCTACACCTATTGATCCCAGTATCATCAGATATACAACATTCTTAATACACGCCTCCTATGGACAATTAAACATGGCCATGACAACTATAGTACAGTTTTGAAATCGACAAACTATCCAGTTCAATCTCTTCACAGGCCCTTAGGAGTTGAACACCTGAACATCAGGCATTCTTCCCAAGCCATTACCACCACCAATCTTCTTATTCTTGGCCTTCTCAAAGCCAAGAGCGCTCTTATCGCGAACATGCTCTCTGAGCAGCGTGAGAACCTCAGAGTCCTGCCAGCGCGACGGAATAGGCCGGTAAGCAGCCCTGAAAGCGCCAATAGTCTGTGCCCATTCACCGCTCTTGGCACCAGTCTCCTTCCAAGTCTCGGTGATGGTATCCTCCTTAGGAGCGTCGGGTGAGACATCCTCTGGCGGGTCCTGCGTGGCCCAGTAGTAGATGTCCCAGTCGTTCTCGTCAAGGAAGTTGTCATACGCGACGAGCTGATCGTAGTCCATCTTGCCCAGGTAGACATCTGCAAAGGTCGAGAGGAGCAGGTCCGACTCGAGGATTCCGCGCTTGCGGCTTTGGTCTGGAGTGGAGTTGGTTAGCTTCAATGGTTCTTGGTATATGCCTCGGCTTTCTTCTGGAACCGAGGTGCAAGCATTGCATGGAAATGGGTACGAACATAGCAGACGTGCCCTCTTCGTGACAAGATCCTCCCCAACCCTCTTCAGAGGCTCAATCTTAAACGTAATACCCTCCATCTCACCAACGCCAAGCTCGGGCTTGCGCGCTCCGTCGTCTTGACGACCACCGGTGAAATGCTCAATCCGTCCCGGGTACGGATCGGACGGTCTGTAGTTGGGATCGGCTGAGTTCAGCATCTCCGGTGGCGGGGGCTTCTCGCCGACACTGGGGAAGTCCTTTGTCATGGTGGAGGTTGTGTTGGGCACGAATTGGTTCGGGACCTTGTTGGTCTGGTTGGCGCGGTGCGCCTTTACCCCCGAGGCAGCTTCGTCGTTGCCATCTTTGAGACGTAGAGCTGTCGCGCCGAATTGGCGGTGGCGGTTCAGTCTTGTGATTGTGCTTAGGGATGATGGCACTGGTCGCGCGAGGCGATGGATTATACGTGGGGCGGACATTTTGTTGTAAAGTGTCCTGTAGAGAGGGAGTTGGGATCTTTTTTTTGCTCTAGGGATGAGTGATGCTTGGCCTTGACATCATCCGGCGTAATTAGCCCGGGCAACCGAAAAGCTCCTGCAATGCCCGGTGTTTGTTCTGTTTGCAATGCTAAACATTTACCTGAGAGGCCACTGAGAGGCCGTGAATTACACACTTCTCGACACGGTGCAATTCTTTATGTCTATTTTTGGGCTTTGGAATTGGACACTATTTGTTCAATGTCCTGGCCTGTCTGCTATTTTAACTTCATCGGCCTCGGTATCCCTTTACAGGATGTCGATCTAGATGTATACACTGACCTTACATCAAAAGCGCTATCTAAGGCTAGTTACAAAGGTACCTACTGTGTAAGCAGTGCTTTACCAGTATAGATAGATATCAATCGATAAATACTCAGGTAATATCACACTAGGCGAAAGTGCACTGTAAAGTATAGCTAACCACAGTCCCAGGACAACACAAGCGAGAAACAGAAAATATTATTAGCGCCAGGCTGCAGAAAGCATGGTGTACATTTTATATCATTGAGATCATGACTGTTGAACAGAATGCCACTCGACGTTAGAGCAAAAGGATTTGCAATGCAACCGCTGCAAAAACCAAAAAAAGAACCATCAAAGATGCAACCATTCCACGGACTAGTAAATCTAGATAAGGTGCTTAGATCTACAAGAACCAAATAGTCAGTAACCAACTCCACCTTCCACCACAGCCACATCCACAATTCGAATTTGACATACCTGAAGTAAGCTCTCAGGTAAACAACCTGCCAAGCACCAAGCCCGATAAGCATGCCCATAGTTCCGAAAGCGAACCACTTCACGCGCTCGTTGGTGCTCTCATTGGTATCACGCAGACGCTGCTCACGCGCACGCAGGTACTCCATCTCAGTCACGATATCGGCGACCATCTCCTCGATGCGGCGGAGGTCTGTTTCAACGGGCTTGAGCTTCTCCTGCGACTGAATGCTGTTCCAGTCGCGGGCGTCGGCGCCAATGTCGACGTCGAGTTCGACGGGGCGGGAGGGGTTCTGGATGGTGTCTGATGGGGCAATGTTGTTTTAGCATCACATTCTGTTCAACTCCGCCTTTTCCCCGGTGGATTGTTCGTGTTCTGGAAAGGGACTACCACTTACTGTGGCCGACAAGCTGGTTCTCGAAGCAGACGTCGAAAGCCGTGTCCGCGGGCGAAGTGAAAAGCTGACGTGTCTCTCCGACGACATCCTTAGGGCGACCGTAGTCATTGCCCATAGCGTCCTTGATCTATACACAGAAAAGGAAGAATTAGTCGCGATCCACAATCTGCAATCTGCAATTCGGCGGTTTGCTCTCCGAGTCCCAGCAGACGCAGGACGGATTCCCATCCACATCCAGAAATAAGCCCACATACATGAATATTAACCCTCTGACCGTCACCCTTCGTACCGCCAACAATGGCAGTGACAACGACCAGCTGGTCCTTAGAGACGAAGTTGCGAATGCATCGCTCGTTCTTGCCGCTGCCGGAGGTGGCGATCAGGTCGAATTTTAGCGCGCTGGCAAGCTGGACGAAGACAAAGAGGAAGCTGAAGATGGCCCTCAGCGTGATTGGTGAGGTGCCCATTGTCGCGACGTGGAATTGGCGGTTGTAAACACGGATGCTTGCTGCTGTTGATGACACCTGGTAAGGGGAGTGTGGATTAACTTTGTTCCGGTGTTACGGTCTACGATCTATACAACCGAGGGGTTCTTTTCACGCAGCAAATATTGCTGGGTCTGATTGATTTGTATTTATGTAAGTCGAGTTTTACTTGTATTGGAGTTATAATGTTCAAAGAATAATGAAATGGTTTCTGAATGTCAGGGTACAAAAATAGCCCCAGTGTAGGTACATAGGCATGGTATCTCGAAATCCACGAAAACAATCAAAGCGACGTCCCACAAAGAGACAAAATAGAAAACCCGAAGTCCGAATTAATTGTTCCGTCCCATGCAGAAGGTAGAAAATAAATTGGCGCACACATGCGCAAAGAAGATAAGAATAAGCCACCCGAACAATAAGGTAAAGAGAACATGCCTCTATGTGAATAAGGTAGAGAGAAAAGGAATGATAAAGATCGCAGTGCTGTCGCACAAACAAGAAATACCAAAGCGATGGACATGATATGTAGATCATTAGATGGATTGGAACGCTCAGCAAAGCAAGACAGTCGAGAATGTCGTCAGGATACTTTCAACCCTAAGCCTCGACCTTCTTTCGACGCGAGAAGAAACGGGAGAAGCTACCGTCCTTCGTCTTAGCGCCCATTGGTGTTGATGAAGCTCGCGCAGGGGCTGGAGGAGGTCCGGTATTTCGGAGGAAATCCGCCAAATCACCGGTGTTGGTCGGGCGATTTGAGAGAGAAGGCAGGGTGCCATTGTTGCGCTGCTGACCGACCTTGGCAGCGTAGTCAGAATGGACCTTGGTGGGGGCATTTTGTGGGCGCAAGGAGTTGTGAGAAGTGCGGAGCAAGCGGGCCTTCATGCCCGATGCACCGGAGAGATTATTTGATGCAGGAGCACGAACGGCAAATGGCTGTGGGGGTTGTTCGGAGGAAGGGGGAGGAGGAGCGTTGAGTAGGAAATCCATCAGGCTCTCCTCCTCGCGCTTGGGCTTGGGGTTCTGTTCCTGTTCCAGAAGCTCTTCTAGATACGCGTCATCGTCATCGTCGTCAATGGCGTACGGATCTGGAGCACGGCGTTGCTTCCGGACAGGCGGCTGAGGCTCGTCGAAGTCCATGGCGCCTGTCGACGCTGGGGCCTTGTTTTGATTTGAATCCAGCAAGCCGGACCGCGAACCAAGAGATGTCAATGACTTATTAGGTGTAGATTCATTCCCAGTGCTGACGAAAGAGCTGGATGTGGTGGTCTCCATCTGAAGATCATCCGACTCAAGGGCGTTGAAAGGCGCAACTGTCCGAGGAATCCGGTGAGCACCTGCAGGCATGGGAGGTCCCTCGCGAATGAAGTCAATGAGCTCTGAGGTCTGAGATCCTTTCGTCTCAGCAGACCGAGCTTGAAGCTTAGGTCGGTTTCCACGGGAGGCAGAAGAGACAGCGGATGGAGGACGAACAGACCGCGTGCCCTCAGCGGAGATAGAGGGTTTGAACTCGTTTACCCCACCAGCAGGACCAGTCGATTTCATGAAATCCGCAAAGTCGCGTGTCGAGTCCGAGGGTGGGACTCGCGCATCCCGCGCCGGCCCAATCTTGCTAGACCTCGATGTTGATGACATGTTGGTCAAGCGCGTGGTAAGCGGGATGTGCTTGGGCGAATCAATGGATCTGGTGTGGGAAATTGGAGACATCTCTTCGGTTGCTCTTGAGGAAACCGAGGTTTGGGGGCGGTGCTTATCTTCCCCTGGTGGCGGAGTGGTATTTAAGAAATTAGCCAGGTCGGAGACGCCTGCCGTCTCTGACCGAGGAACTGAACGATTGGGTTGTTTGGGGAATGTCATCTCCCTCACACTTCGGGGAGTGAGGGTGTAATGGATAGTCTCGTCGCTGTTGATCAACTTGTCCAAATCGGCAAGTTCTTCTACAGAGTCCACGCTCCCGCCAGATGCGCGACTAGTTTCAGACGAGCTGCGCATGCGGGGCGGCCCAGATTCACCCTGTGGCCGATTCATGATACCCTTAAACCTGCTAGACACCTGCGAGGTAGTGGAGCCGGCAGTCACTGGACGCGTTTTCTCGCGAGCACTGCCGAAGCTCCCAGACCGGCGGGTTTTAGTGGTGATAGATGACGATGGCCGAGACATGCGTTGAACAGCGGCTCGTTCAACCGTAGAGGAAGAGGAGCTTCGATTGTTGGTTGTGACCTCCAACGGAGAAGGTCTGGGGCGGGTTTTCGATAGCTGCGAATTACCTGAACCAGAAGTCGAGCAAATGATATCGGGGGAAAGAGATTTTGCTGTTTCGGTGTATTCCTCTGATGGTCGAGTCGGAGGGGTCCCATCGTGATCGGTACAAGATGTGATAGCCTCGATGGGGGGTGCGGGTGGAGCCGGCGTGGTCTTAACCCCTTGCGCTGAAGGCTGACTCTCCGCAACGGCTTGCAGTTCAGAGTCGCTAGTTTGTTCAGAGATCGACTTCGCATTCAGTAGACTGGCGTCCTTGGAGGGTTGTCGTTTTGGTCGGTGTATCGTCGAAGTCAATTTAGGCTTTTCGCATAACCCAGTGCCCTCAATCACTTCTGAGTCTTTCTGATTCCGCCGATCACCCAAGGATACGAGGGAGACGCGAGGACTATTGGATTGATCAGTCATAGCGTCTTCAGCTTGTGCGATAGCGTGCAATGATGCAACCGTCTCCCCGACAGGATGTGTCTCCTCCTCTTCTTCATGCAAGATCGACATTCTCGCAATTTCGGAAGCTTCTTCTGCAGGTTCCATAAGTGGTGTCTCTTCCTGTTCCTCTTCTGTCGTGATAGCAATGCCAGGGCTGGTTTCAGCTGCATCCACATATTCTGCTGATTCATCATCCTCGTACATAGTCTCGAGTTGCTTTTTCTCCGATGCGGTGGGTGACGGGTGGTCTGTTGGCCACTCCGGCTCCTCCTCAGTGAAGTCGGGTGTAGGTGCCCCACCAGGTAGAGACCTCGTACGGACATGACGGATTGGATTGCCAATTTCAATAGCTGACGTACTCACGGGCGAGATGCTTGCTGAACCTGGAGATCTTGGGACAAGCGAGGGCGATGAAAACACCATCAGACTGCGCGGTCGCACCTTGTGAGCGATAACGGCCTCCATGGTCTGTACCTCCCCATCTAGATCGCCAGTATAGCCAGGGACCTCGATCTCTTGAACATCGTAATGGCTCGTTGGCAAGGGCACAGTCGCGGGGTCCAAAGGCGGGGGCATCGCCACAGGGAGAGGCTCCTTGGGGGTTATTGGCTCCTCGATGGTCACAATGCTGCTCTTTCGGCTGTTTGCCAGCGAGTATCCACGTGGGCGGAATGATTCACGAGATAGTGTTCGAGAAAGATTGGTTCCGCGTCGGCGCTGCCTCCACGTGCGCCACAGACGACCCAGGGTTGCATTCAGGGCCAACTTCTCCATATCGAGATCTTCCACCACAAGTCGGTCGATTCTTTTCCGCTCGTGTCCAGACCCAAACTCAGGACCGCCATTGTTGAGTTGTGCTGACAAACGAGACCGCGATGTCTCGCCAGCAATGACGAGTGCCCGCTCGCCAATGTATTCGATGATCGAGGTGAGGAAAATAGAAGCTGCGGGTGTAATGTTGTCGACATGACTGCTGAATCTGCGGGGTGCTCCATCGGTCTCTCCTAGGCTATCTTGCGCGATAAACTCATCTTCATCATCCTCTTCCATGTCACCTAGTCGTGTGTAGACCATGCATCGTAGACGGGTTAACTTCCATGAGCGTACTAGATCAAAATCACCGCCGGGCTCCTGGCCACCGCGGAATTCCGTCTGCTCATCGTCCGCTCCCCCCATATATTCGCTCAACTCTTCTTCAGCCGAGGCCACAACTTCCTTGGCCAGGCGGGGCTTCAACACATCGGCCATGGCGGGTCGAATGCATGCGAGCTGGGTCGACTTGGACGAAGCGAGTATATTAAACAAGAGATTATCGAGGAATCCGTTCAGGAGCGACAGCGCGGCCGGGGTCACCAGCGCCGTGGCGCCAGCCCCGGTTTCCTCATCCTCGGCGACAAAATCGGCGGCGTTGAACTCCTGGTCGGCAGAGACGATATCCGAAGCCGCAGAGGGCGAGATGAATGCTGGAGCAGGCGTCACGGACGGTGGGGACATGAGGTTGACTCGAGAAAATTGCGAATCGCTAGAAACAACACTGGGGCTGCGCGAACGGGACACGGCCCCAGTCTCCAAGAAGTCGGGTGTTTTGAAGGATTGCATTGTGTACCCCGGGTATATTTAGGTCGAGGGCGCGACTTGACAGCTTTGTTTGCCTCTTTTTCTGTGTTCCTTCGCGGACCTCGATTTGGACCGGAAGGCGCTGGGTAGGAATCGAAATTTCTAAATCATCCTGTACTCCCAGGACGGTCAGTCTGACACGATTCTGCGGGCGAAATCTGACTCGAGTGGAATCGGGGGCTTGTACGACTGCATGCGCAACGTCGTCTGGACGGGCCCCCGTGACAATGGAAGGTGGATTTCCAACTTACCCGTTTGAATCAAAGATGCGATCAGTGCTCATACCGCATTGGCAAGGGGAAAGTGGAAGGAAGCGAAAGGATGAGACAGAATGACCCGTAGAGGCCAGGAGAAAGAGAGTCAGGAGTAATTATTCCATCCGAGTCAGTGGGGACCTGGGAACATTCGGGGTCGACTACGGCATGATTTATGGAGCACCTGCAAGTGTATACAAATCTTACAATCTTACCTGATTACAGTTTGTTTTGCATGCCCTGTACCTTATTTAGGCTATTCCTCTAAAATGTAACTTATTCACAAAGTTACAGGTTATAGACAGTTACTGTACGGTCCAATTCATATCTTACTGAGCTATTCAAGACCGTCTTCCCCCTTATTCGGAGAAAAAGCCTATCGCAGGCAAAAAAACACAGAACAATGTCCCAGCGATCGGCACGCTA